AGACTTATATGCACTGAAGTGAAGAGCAATTTTGAGTTACAGCCACATGTGGACTTATTTGTGTTCCGTTGGAGGAAGGTCTTAGGAGAAATTTGCTCTACAAATGAAGAAAGAGAATAAATAATTTGAAACATGTCAAGTGCATTGACCGGCTTGCTCACTAAGAATCTCAGTCTTCTTTTTTCTCTTGCTGGCTCAAGTCAGAACCAGTGTAGCTTATAAATTATGCAGTGCATAGCTGTTCCAACTTGGTCTGCTAAGTGGAACCATGTATAACCAGTTCCATCAATGGGAAACCCGGAAACTGGAATGATGAAAGTTTATTTTCTGATGACTGTGATAACATCAGTCATAGCAGTCTTCACTTAGGTTGCTGTCCCTGTCCTCTCTATTTACCAGGAATTTCAGCCACCTGCAGGCTGGGTGGGTGGAGAAAAAGGAGTCACAATTTATATAAATAAGAAATAAAGAAAAAAGAAAACCGTATTAATGTCTTCTTTTGAGAAATGTCTCTTCATGTCCTTTGCCCACTTTTTGATGGGGTTGTTTGTTTTTTTCTTGTAAATTTGTTTGAGTTCTTTGTAGGTTCTGGATATTAGCCCTTTGTCAGATGAGTAGATTGCAAAAATTTTCTCCCATTCTGTAGGTTGCCTGTTCACTCTGATGGTAGTTTCTTTTGCTGTGCAGAAGCTCTTTAGTTTAATGAGATCCCATTTGTCAATTTTGGCTTTTGCTGCCGTTGCTTTTGGTGTTTTAGACATGAAATCTTTGCCCATGCCTATGTCCTGAATGGTACTACCTAGGTTTTCCTCTAGGATTTTTATGGTATTAGGTCTAACATTTAAGTCTCTAATCCATCTTGAATTAATTTTCGTATAAGGAGTAAGGAAAGGATCCAGTTTCAGCTTTCTACTTATGGCTAGCCAATTTTCCCAGCACCATTTATTAAATAGGGAATCCTTTCCCCATTTCTTGTTTCTCTCAGGTTTGTCAAAGATCAGATGGCTGTAGATGTGTGGTATTATTTCTGAGGACATTAATACAGCCAACAGACACATGAAAAAATGCTCATCATCACTGGCCATCAGAGAAATGCAAATCAAAACCACAATGAGATACCATCTCACACCAGTTAGAATGGCAATCATTAAAAAGTCAGGAAACAACAGGTGCTGGAGAGGATGTGGAGAAATAGGAACACTTTTACACTGTTGGTGGGATTGTAAGCTAGTTCAACCATTATGGAAAACAGTATGGCGATTCCTCAAGGATCTAGAACTAGATGTACCATATGACCCAGCCATCCCATTACTGGGTATATACCCAAAGGATTATAAATTATGCTGCTATAAAGACACATGCACACGTATGTTTATTGCAGCACTATTCACAATAGCAAAGACTTGGAATCAACCCAAATGTCCATCAGTGACAGATTGGATTAAGAAAATGTGGCACATATACACCATGGAATACTATGCAGCCATAAAAAAGGATGAGTTTGAGTCCTTTGTAACTGATGCAGCGAATCATCACAAAACACAAAACAGAAAAACACCGATTTCTCATAGGTGGGAATAAAATGAGATCACCAAAGGGAAACACACACGCATCATGGAGAGGGAATGCATGGATATACCATGTAAATGAATGAAAAAAAACAAAAATATAAAAAACTACTAGACATACAAAAAAAATAATAAAAAAAAAAAAAAAAAAAAAAAAAAAAAAAAAAAAACCACAAAAACACTTTGTGTGGGATTTGGATCAGCTACATTCATTGGCCAGTTTTCTAATCTGTGACTCAAAATCTAAAATATCACCCTGGAGTCTAAAATATCACCCTGGACACTTGAATTCTCAAGCAATTCCTACAGATTCCTATTGGTTTTCTTGTTTAATATTACCCATGACAGATCACACTCTGACTTCTAGGCATGAATGATGTGAACAAGATTCTCTCAGAGAAACTCCTCATGGAGGTGCCAGCCAGAATGGGTAGAACAAGGTAACCCTGATGCCAATAGAAGATTAAAGACAATATCTTATATCTGTGCACTTGTATGTCTCTGAGAGCTTTGTTTTATGACTCATATTGACCAGAACTGAATCTGTTAGCCAGGGCTCATGACTCAGCTGCCTGCTGGGGCCAGGCAAATAATATAAATACACGATACTGTAGATGTCTTAAAAGACAGACAAGAATAACAAAGGTAGGACACTGAAAGTGCAGCTCAGCTAATGTCCCTCAAATTAAAAACAAAGACACAAAACTATTTTTCTGGCTAAGCCCTCACCTGTTCTGGCCTGATTTGACCCAAAGGTCCCCATTTGCACTGACCTACCAATTGTGTTGTCCCACCCATTCACTACTTTCAGGAGCAGATGACTTAAAAACACAAGCAAGTATTCATAGAACTAATTACCTTCAAAATTCTGAATGGAATGTTTATTGTTGTGGTTGCTTGGATCGGCCCATCTTAGACTCTTCCTAACAGCAACTTTGAGACACAGTGGGTTGTGGGCCAGGCAGAGGACCAACGCGTTTCAACTTACCTGTCAGGTACCCAATTCCACATGTAGTTTCCAGAAACTATTCTGTTTCAAATGTTGATGTCCATAACTGCCAACTACCCTGTGTTTATGTCTATAGTCCTTTTCATTTCTGATCTAATTGAGATTTTATGTAACTCGCACCAAGAAATAGTAGTCTTCAGGCTAAAGAATCTATAACCTTTCTGATGCTTCATTGCTGCTGATCTAATATGAGATAAAATCCTGCTCTTTTTTTGTAGAATATGCCTAGGTTTCTGGGTTTAATATACTATAAATATGAGACACCCACATATATCTTTGGTATACAAAGTAGGAAGCAGACATTTATGTTTGTATCTAGGGAACACAGAAATAAACAACATAGATGCAGAGTAAAAAAGCCTTCAACCCCATCTTTCTTCTGATTTATGATTAAACATTTGTGTAAAATATATATGTACAGGCCTCTTTTTTCCTGCTTTGATACATTTTCTCCATCTATACTCCCCACTCTTCTTCCATGACCCATCACAGCTGCTTCTGCTGTTTCTCTTCAGGATATCTGAGTTCTCTTTTTAGCTCTTCCATTAATAAATCTAAGTGACCACACAATATATCTAAGGGTTATGTTTTTGATCTATTAAACTGAGATGAGAGTTGAACTAGGAATAATCTATAAGGTCCCACACTGAACCAACTACAAATCTTGTTTGTATGTATGAGATTTCATGAATTCAGCCAGAATTTTCTTCTAGAATTAACAAACCTATAATTTGGCTGAAGCATAATACAATATGCCTATTCTCTCTAAGGATTCAGGTAAATTATCCATTTTATATAATTATGTGATCATCATTGTTGTTGAAGATCCATGACATAGAAAGTATTTAAATCATGACAATGTTTAAAAATTGTTTGTATTTAATGTTCACCAGCAGCAATATATTGCTTTATTAAACTAGAGATAATCAATACTAGAGCAACAATTTAAAGTTGAGATTCTTTGAGAAAACATTTGAAAGATAACCAATTTATCAGCATGATTGCTTTATATCTTTTTGCTTGGTTACGAGTGTTAAAAAAATCAACACAGCGTTACTTAGCAAACATTAAAAACACATATATTTATATGTACATATACAACTATATATATACAATATTATACTGTATGAAACCAATACATTTATTGAAAATATAGAAAAATTAATAAGTGGGTAATTGAAAATTTTTAGAAGTGTATTTGTCGTTTATATATTTGTATATTAACCAGTGCACACAGATGCTATATTTTGATTTGTTTCCTAGTAATAGTCTCCCTACATATGTTGATTATTTTACACAAATTTAGAGTGCGGGTATCTGAAAATCTGCTCCTCAATAAAAGCAATCAGAACACTGGTAAAACTTGTCAACATCAATTTTCAGAACTTGGAAAATTAACCAAAGGCTTGCAACAATCTGAAGAAGATTTATTCAAGAAAAATGGGAAAATCTCAGTAAGAAGAGTGAGCTTTGTAACATTTTGATTTACCTTATTTTCATCACCTTCTCCTCAGCATTACAGAAGCCTTGAAAATCAACTACTTTGAAGTCACAGTAGCCAAGATGTGACTGATAGAATAATGGTCCCCAATGATGTGCATATCGCAATCCCCCAAAGCTATAATTACTTTGTCCTAAATGACAAAAGTAACTGTGCATGTGTGATTAAGTTAAGGCTCCTAATATGGAGAAATTATCTTGTATTATCTATGAGGCCTTGATATAATCACAGGTATCCTTACAGGATGAAGGCAGAAAGTAAAAGAGGGAAGGAGACACTATGCTGCTGACTGTGAAGATGGAGGAAGGGGGCCACAAACCAAGGGATGCAGGCAGTCTCTGGAAGATGGATAAGGCCACAAAAAAAACAAAACAAAACCTGCAACAAAACATAGTTTTTCTTTCCTTAGAGGCCCTAGAAAGAACAGAGTCCTGCTGATTCAATTTAGATTTCTTAACTTCATAACTGCAATATCATACCTGTGTTGTTTTAAGCCACTAAGTATGTAGTGTAGTGATGTGTTATAGCAGCAATAGGAAATGAATACAGGTTTTGGTACCTGGAAGTGGGACATTGTTTGCTGTAGCAAGTACCTAAAAATACATAAGTCGCTTTGTAATTGTGTAACGGGTTAAAGCTGGAAGAACTTTGAGGAGCATAATGGAACATTCCTGGATTATTTTACAAGACTGTTAGTGGAAATATATTTATTAACAGTATTGTATGTGAGAGATCAGAAGGAAGTTACAGGAAACATGAACAAACTGTATTCTTCTTATATAATGATAGAATGCTTAGCTGAACTGTGTCATAATGTTATTTTGAAAGATAAATTTGATTTTTAGTTGAAATTCCAAGCAAAGTGTTGAAATTGTGGTTTGGTTTCTTCCTTTTGCTTATAGCACAATGTGGGGGATAAAAAAAAGAAGAGAGAGAGAGAAAAAAATCTTGAGAGAATATTAAGCAAAAAGGAATCAGGACTTGATGATTTAGAAGATTTTCATCTTATCCAGATTGCACACGACACTAAAATGAGCACATTCAATGTCAGGAAACTGTGCTCTGGAGAGAAGGCAAAGGGAGTGGCTGGACAATCTTCTGCTAGTGCTTCTGAAGTAGCAATATTTCAGAGTATCCAATCACGCAAAGGACTCTTTGAAGAATTTAGGTGTGTGACTTTTGGATCTAAGCAGAAACCAGGAAGGAAGTTGGCATTATGAAGGAAATATCAATGGAGGAGCAAATGACAGGGAAAGGAAGAAATAAAATAAATTAACTAGAATTGCAAATGAAAACTGCCTAATAATATTACTTAGCTGAAAACACATGCTTCCCCTTAAGAAAAATGAAGAATGATTCTGAGAGCAGAGCTGCAGGACAAGAGGGCAGAATCCTGAAGCCAGAAGGTGACACTGACAGCCACAGGATTATTTCAAGTCCTCAAAACCTAATAGAACCTCACGTGCTGGATTTCAAAATTATTTGGGTTAATGATTCCTTTTTTCATTCTGTATTCTCCCTCTTTGAACAGAAATACCTCTAACAGGGAAACTATGCCTGTCCTACCAGTGTGTTATGAAAAGAGTAACATGTGTTCTTATTTTACAAGTCAAAGTATGAACAGAAATTTTGACCCATAATGGATCATACCCACAGTCACAACTGATACAAGATTTACATGGTGAGATTTTGGATGTTTAAGCTGATGAGGTTTATTTGAGATTTTGGACTTAAGTAGATACTGGAAAGTGTTGAGATTTTGGAGATTTGATATGGGGTTTGTATGCTTTGCATGTGGGATAACTGTTCCTTTGGGGGAACCAAGAGAGAACTATTGTAGATGAAACAATGGTTCCCCAACATACCTATATCATAATCCAGAGAGCCAATAGATATATTACCTAGATGAAAAAAGGTATTTTTCAAACATAATTACATTAAGGATCTGAAGATCTTTTAACACAGGGCAAATTATCCTGTGTTATCTGAGTGGATCAAATGTCATTAAAAGGCTCCTAATGAGAGAATACAAGATCAGAAGGTAAAACTAGAAAAGAGAAAGAAAAATATAATTCCTACAGCCTCCAGCACGAAGGCAACCCTGAGGACCCATCGCAGACTTCTGACCACCAGAAATCGTAAAGCAATACATTTGTGCTGAATTTTTAAATTGATACTTAATATTTTACATATTTAGATGGTACATGTGAGTATTTGTTAAATGCGGAGAATGTGTAATGATAAAGTTCAAGGTATTTGGAGTTATCCATCACCCTGAATATTTATCATTTCTTTATGTAGAAAATATTTCAAATCCTCTCTTCTAACTACTTTGAAATATACAACACATGTTGCTAACTAAAGTCAGCAAGCTTTCCTTTTGAACATTAGAACCTGTGAAATGGAGTAGCCACTTTGGAAACATTTAGCAGTTTCTCATAAATTTAAACATACAGTTGCTATCTGACCCATCTAAAATAATAACAATAGTAACTCTTAAGTTTGTATCATCCTCTCTTTTGCTAGGATTCTTTCTTTACTTCTCTTTACCTCACCTCTTATTTCATAGTCAGTATGTTTGGAATGCAAACCTGCTATTTAAAATTTACTCTTGTTTTTGGCAGTAAACATTTTTCAAAAGTATGTTTTCTTCTTTGTCATTATTTATATTCGTCTCTTGTCTACGTGTTGTGGCCTCTTAGTTAAAAGTTCAATTTTTTTTTTCTTGTAGCTATTTGAGAGTAGCTCATACAATATTTGCCACAAAATAATGCAGGTTCTGCAATATTTTCAATGTATTTATAGGCACTGTTAAAATCCTCCCCTTAAATTTTGAGCTGGAAACAGGGTTTGTAGATGGATTTATTTTATAAGTTTTATTCTGAGCAACCTAAGGAAAACACAGAGAATAAAAAAATCCTAATTAGGGCCAATTAGAAAATTTGGCTCCATAGAGATTCATTCTAATTTTGTTAGAATCGTGGTGCTGGAGACAGAGACCTACTCAAACCTCATTTTAAGATGATTTATCTTGTCTTTACTTTGGATACAATGTTTCCATGTTCACCAATGCTCATTCTTCAAGATTGGTGTGGGTAAAATCCAGCCATTTTCAAATGATTCCGAAACATAAAGATTTAATTTTGTTTAAATAGATTAAAGTCACATGGGAATATCAATTTGCACTCAGTTTATCATGACTGTATTAACTGATACTTGTACTCCTAAAATTCCTTTTTGGTACTTCATAAGAGACGGACTTCATATATAAAGCCACATATATTAAAAACAATTTATAAAATAAGAGATGAATCATGTTTACACCATTAAATGTAGAAAAGCTAAAACTGTAGTTGTATATTCCTGTCTCTAACCAAGTTAATACGTTTTGATAATGTTAGATGTTAAATATTAAAGGCTAAATATTTTCAATTTGTCATACTCTAAAGCACTTACATAATCCAGATTATGGCTATTTATGACCTACGACCCTGGTTGTCTACACCAGAGACAATAACCAGCTGTCCACCTGGATTGGAGTACTTGTATCAGGTATGGCAATGTGCTTCTCAACTTATTTGATCCACAATAACATGAATTTAGATCATTCCAGAATATAATTTGTTATAAACATTTTTGACTATGGATTAAAATACTATGACCTTACCACTAAGATTTTTGTATTTTATTTACATTTAAATTTTTATTTTTGATTGAGATAGTAAACTTACACTTTACATATTATAATATTGTTACTTACAAATTTATTTCCTAGGAATCTCATTTAAAAATAAATACCTACTTTTGGCCAGATGCGGTGGCTCATGCCTGTAATCCTAGCACTTTGGGAGGCTGAGACAGGTGAATCACGAGGTCAGGAGATCAAGACCATCCTGACTAACACGGTGAAACCCCGTCCTTACTAAAAATATAAAAAATTAGACGGGCATGGTCGTGGGCGCCTGTAGTCCCAGCTACTCGGGAGGCTGAGGCAGGAGAATGGGGTGAACCCAGGGGACGGAGGTTGCAGTGAGCCGAGAGCGCACCACTGCACTCCAGCCTGGGTGACAGAGCACTCTGTCTCAAAATATAAAATAAAGTAAATAAATAAATGCCTACTTTTAAAATAGGAAATTGTATTTTGAGAATGTAACTTATACTAACCTCGAGAATCCTCACTTCATCTATTGCTTGTGCATTAGAAGCCTGGTATGAAAATGTAAAATATAAACATTAATATTAGGAAAATGTCTCTTATTCTGTACTAGATTGAATACAATTAAATTAAAGCTTATGATGTCAATTCTGATTTAATTTCCTGTGATATTGTCTCTTGAATAATTAACTTTGACAACTTAGTTGTCTGTAATCGTTGGCCACATTTTATTTTGTAATACTTTAAAAATAAAATAGTATATATGTAACTTCTTGAAAAGGTTGTTTACATTTTCAATGCTTAATTATAAACTTGTCATAAATTATGATATAAATATAATAAAACCTTTTAACATTTGGGTAAAAACTATATTAAAATATTCAAATGATAGTATAGATATTATCTGAATTTCAAAAATATTTATAATATGTATTTTAAATTTTTGTTAACCAAATTATTGAGTATGTTAACAATTGAGACAACACAAAACACCTTATAGACTGTAATAATAATTTTTCATTTGCCTGTTCCATGGTGAAGTAAAATAAAATTTAATTTTAGATTACTATGATATACAAGACAAGTGACAGAAAAAATCAGAGATGTTGACAATGGATCAATTACTTTAAATATCCTAAATGTAAATAATAAGTTATCTGTTGATATGTGCTTTAAATGTAGTCTGAGTACTTCATAACCACCTTCTTTATTTTTACTCTAATAGATAAATCAGTTAACAGTGTGCCAATATTTTGATCCTCTGGGAGGTATGTACCAAACACGCTGATATATTAATTCTTGAAGTTATAACTTATTTTGTTGTAGTTAGATCAACCCCCATAAATTAAAGTGTTTCTTAAGGAAACTAAACCTTGCAAACATGAAGAGAGTGTATAGAAGGTCGTTAGATAATGAGAAGGTAAATGCAGCAATAGTCTTCTCATGGGAAAGGAAAAAAATACTTTTTTTTCTTATACTTTGCTTTCTCTTAAAGTAGATCTTTTCAGGATCATTCCTGCCCTTTTAGTATGCTAAACATAGGTACAACTCCTGAAATGGTTTGCCCACCCTGATTTCTTCAAATACAGGTATTTTAGAGAAACAATAATTCTAAATTCTTCAGAAATTTTGTTAATAGAAGCAGAATGCAGGTAAGTTTCTGGATAGTCCAATTGTGCTCCCAAGTCTGAAAAATTAAACTGTCCTTTAGAATTTAACTGTTTACCTTTATCTCAACTTAGTATGAGTATTTCTTTTATGTGGATGAAACTAAAATGCATGGAAATGAGTATCTAGTTACAAAAAAAAAATAGTACTATCATTGCCTTTCTTATGCGTTAGCGATTCTAAAACTAACATGGGCATTGATGATTTGTTTAACTCATGAAAGCTTTTCCATTTTGGCATATTATAAAAGAATGCTTCCTTTGTTTTTTTTTTTCTTGCTGAATTTATACTAAATTGCTTTAATTTATGAAAGATCATTTACTACAGAAACACCATATGTTATTACAACAAACAAGGCATATGATACTCATTTTGAGAGAATCAAGGAAGAGTCAGATCCAGGCTTGCACTGAAGAACTTCCTCTGAAGTGTGAGGAATTAATATATTTGCTGTAGTTTCAATGTGTTCGCCAAAGTTCATGTGCTGGAAACTTAACCATCAATGTAATGTGTTGACAGGTTGAACCTTTAAGAGGTGATTAGGTCATGAGGGCTCTGCCCTTATGCATGAATTAATGCCTTTATCTCGGGAGTTGGGTTAGTTACTGTGGGAGTGGATTCCTGATAAAAGGATGCATCTGATCTCCTTCCTCCCCCTCTCTCTTACACATTCTTAGCATGTGATGCCTTCCACTACCATATGATGGAGCAGGAAGGCTCTCACCAGGTGCCAGCCCCACCTTCTTGGACTTCACCACCTCCAGAACTTTAGAAATAAATCTCTCTTCTTTATATATTACCCAGTCTGTGGTATTATTTTATTGAAATACCAAACAGACTAAGATAGAAAATTGATACCTGAAAATGTGGAAGCAGCTTTGGAACTGGGTCATGGGTAGAGGCTAGAAGAGTTTGGAGAAGGAAGCTAGAAAAAGGCTAGATTGCCATCAGTGGAAAATTAAGGGTGATTCTGGTGAGGACCCAGAAGAGAATAGCTATAAGGAAGTCTGAGACTTCTTAGAAATTACTTAAGTGACTATGATCAGAGCATTGGTAGAAAGATACACAGCAAAGGCAATTCTGATGAGTCGTAGATAGAAATGAAAAACAAGGTGTTGCAAACTGGGGTGAAGGCCATACTTATTATACAATTGCTGAGAACTTGGCAGAGTTATGTCCATGCCCTTGAGCTTTAGGGAAGGTAGAATTTAAGTATAATGAATGAGGATATCTAGCAGAAGAAATTTCTATGCAAAATATTGAAGGAGCTGCATGATTAGTTTTCACCACTTTCAGTAAGATGCAAGAGGATAGAAATGACTTAAAATGGAATTTATAATTAAAAGAGAAACAGAATGGAAAACTATGGAGATTTCGCAGAGTACCCATATAAAGAGTAAAAAGGTATGCTTAGGAGAGCAAACCAAAAGTGTAGCCAAGCAGTGGTTTGTTAAGGAGATTAGTAAAAATAGAAGGGAGCCAGGTACTATTCATCAAGACAATGGGAGAATGGCCTTGAAGGCATTTCAGAGAGCTTTGAGGCTTCCCCTCCCATCACAGGCCCAGAGTTCCAGGAGCACCAAATGTTTTTGGAAGATGGATCCAAACAACACTCCACAAGCTCACTGCTCAGGGCTGTCTTGGTTCTGTTAAATATAGTGAACTCCATGTTTCTCTTCAAAGAATCAGTATGTTAGTATGTTCAGCTCTCTTATTCTTTGTTCTCCATTTTAAAGTTTAACTTCCTGGTTCTCTTTGCCCTCTTGCTTCTAGTTTCAGTAAACAACTTTCCCGCCAGTTCTAATCAGTAGTTCACATCTGTTCCCCTGGTTACCTATTCCGTTCTGAGTCACCCCTGCTCACCTGCTCTGACCTGAATCATCCTGGGTCACCTGTTCTGTAACTGTCCTTCCTGACAAACTACTCACCCCACCACTCCAACTAACACCCCTGCTCTCTTTAAAATAGCCAATCAGAATTAGCTTAGACTGTGCAGTCCAACCCTAGCCAATAGGGGAATGACACAGCAGTAGGGGCTATCTGCATCAGGACTAAGAGCCTCTTCCTCTCCCTTGTTCAGGTGTGCTCTTGCCATTGCTCTATCCACGAATCATACCCTTTTATAGAAGTAAAATTGCCTTGCTGAGAAAATTAAATTTATGTTCGAGTGCTATTTCATTTGTGGCACCGAAAATTTATTTATGATAGTTCTCTAGTCCCAATACCTCACTGAAGTACTCCTTGGCCACCTCAGCCATGGCTCAAGCAGGCCCAAGTGCAACTCATGCTGCAATTCCAGAGGTCACAAGTGGTAAGCATTGGTGACATCCAAATGGTGCTTAGTCTTCAGATGTGCAGAGTGAATGAGCTGTGGGGCCATGGAAGCCTCCATGTAGATTTCAAAGGATGTCACAGACAACCTGGGGGCCCAGGGAAAGACTTGTCACAGGAGCAAAGTCAATACAGAAAGCCTGCACTAGAGCAATGCCCAGTGGAGTGGTCAAAGTGGTCAGCTTCGGAGACCACATAACTGTAGGTTCACTAGCAAGCAACTCCAGCCTGAGAAAGGTGCAGGCTTCAGAATGCAACTCATGAGAGCTACTGCGTGGACTGAAACCAGTAAAGCCATAGGGATAGGGTTGCCTGAGACCTTAAGGATCAAACCTCCCCACTCTGAGTATGCCCAGACTGCAAGACATAGAATCAAAGGAGATTATTCTCCTGCTTTAAGACTTAATGTTATTTTTCCTATTGGACTTAGGACTTACTTGGGACCAGTTAACCCCTTTTTTTCTTGCCTATTTCTTCCTTTCGAAAGGGAAATGTTTGTCCTATGCCTATTCCACCATATTTTTTTGGAAGTAGATAACTTAATTTCATAGGCTAGTAGCTGGAAAGGAATTTGCCTTGGGACAAATTGTGCCTGGAGTCTCACCAATGTCTGATTCAGATGACCTTGTAAGGTGATGCTTGAGTGAGTTAAGACTTTGAGGCTATTGGAGTGGAATGAATGTTATTTCACATATGGGAAGAATGTAAATTTCGGTGGCCAGAGGTGGAATGCTGTGGTTTGAATTGATCCCCCAAACTTCATGTGCTGAAAACTGAATTTTCAACGCAATAGTGCTGTGATGTGGGACCTTTAAGAAGTGATTAGGTCATGAGGGCTCTTCCTACCAGCATAGATTGTTGCCATTATGGTAGGAGCATGTTTGTTATTGAAGGAGTGGATTCCTGATAAAAGGATGAGTTTGGACCCCTTCCTTCCTTCTCTTATATGTTCACTCACCATATGATGCCTTCCATCATATTATGATTGTTATAAATAAAGTTTTGGTGCCTCAAAAGAAATAGCACTCAAATATAAAATTTTCTTTGTAATTCTCAGCAAGGCAAGGTACTTCTATAGAAGGGTGTGCCCTTACAGATGGAGCAATGGTGAGTGCACATTTGGACAAGGGAGGGAAAGCAGTTCTTACTCCTGACACACGGGGTCCCTACTGTTGTATCATTCCTCTGTTGGCTAGTGTTAGAACACACAGGCTAAACTAATTCTGATTGACTACTTTAAAGAGAGTGACGTGGTGAGTGGTTTGGCGGGAAAAATGGTTATGAAATGAGTCAGGGTGGAGTAGGTAATCGGAAAAGGTTGCTTTACGAAGAAGTTAAGTTTAAAAGTAGAAGGCAAGGAATTGAACATACTGACATATTAATTCTTTGAAGAGAAATTTGGAATTCATATTTAACATGATGCAGTAAGAAGTCCCTTACCAGATGCCAGCCCCTCAGCCTTGGACTTCCAAGCCTCTAGAACTGTGAGAAATAAATCCAGTTTTTAAATAAATTATTCAATGTGTGATATTCTGCTGTAGTGACACAAAATAAACTAAGACAATACTTAAATATGTAGTATAGAGTCCTAAAAATAATGAGACAGGTAAAAACTAATTGTGGAAATTCAAAGGAGAGAAATAGCCACAGTAACTCATAATTTAAGTCACAAAAATAGCAAAAACATTGGGAATCTAAACATCCTTGAATAGGGAACAATTTCTCCAAACCAGTGACTCTCCAGGTATGATCCCTAGAACAGCAGCATCAACATCACCTGGGAACATGTGAGAAATGCAAGTTCTCAAGCTCCATTACAGACCCATTGTTGATTCAGAAAATCCAGTTTGGGGTCAATAATTTGCTTTATAAAGCCCTCCAGGTGACCTTGATGCAGGCTTAAGAACTACCACTCTAAATGAAGGCACTTTCATGTAACTTAACACCGTGAGTTATTTAAAAGAATTAGACAGCTCCACAGATATGCCAGGAGTATTTTCAGAGTATACTGCTAAGTATAAACAACAATTACAAAGTAGAGCATATAGTTAGGAGTGTGCATGTGTGTGTGTGTGTGCATGTGTGTTTACAATATGTGTAGTTTTTTTATATGCTTTGTGTATCTCTGAAAGGATGCATATGAAATTCAAAAGGATGGGGAGAGGGTAGGGCTGGAAGAAGAAATTATTTCTAATGTTATACTCCCATTTGCATTTTTAAAATTTGTGCCATACATATGTAATTTCTACTTAAAAATTGATTTTTAAAGCAGAAAGTATTATTTTAATGAGTTATGAATCATGATCTGGTCATCAATATCAAATGAAAATGTGTACCTTTTATGTATGTTGGCACGGGATAGAAACAATTACATTTAATGCCTGCAGAATCATTAAAAATAAAGAAATTCTATACTCAACCTGTTTCAAAGTTTAGCCTTAAAATAGAATGTTTAGGCTGGGCACAGGCTCATGCCTGTAATCCCAGCACTTTGGGAGGCTGAGGTGGACAGATCATGAGGTCGGGAGTTCAAGACCAGCCTGGCCAATATGATGCAACCACGTCTCTACTAAAAATACAAAAAGATTAGCTGCGTGTGGTGGTGTGCGCCTGTAGTCTTAGCTACTCAGGAGGCTGAGGCAGGAGAATCACTTGAACCTGGGAGATGAAGGTTGCAGTGAGCTGAGATTGCACCACTGCACTCCAGCCTGGTCAACAGAGTAAGACTCCATCTCAAAACAAAACAAAACAAAACAAAAAAACAAACAAACAAAAAAACCCACCAGAACGTTTAATGTATGTTAGAGTAACATGTACTCGTTAAGTGTATACTCATTTCAAAAACAACAGTGAGAGAAAAAAAATCATCCATGCACAACTACTGATACATTTCCTCTGAAGAGGTTTTTAAAATTATTATTTTGTTAGAGTTTTTAAAAAATCACTTTTAATTATCATCCACACTATTTTTCTTAGTCACTTAAGGTTATTTTTTCTTTATCATAAAAACCCAGCATTTTAAAGAGCTACACAGTAATCCTCAATAGGGGATAATAAGTATTGCCTCTTATTGGACACTTTCTTTGTTTTAACTTTGTTTTTTCTGTTCTAAATAGTGCAGTAGTGAACATTTGATGCCTAAAACTTTCTTTCTTAAGTTTTAGGATTGTTTTGTTTGCATAATAACATAAGTAAAATTATTAAAACAAAAGATAACAGTATTCTTATTTGCTTGCAAAAGGGGTAAATTTGATTATTACCTTATATATATAATAGAGTATTTCCTACTTCCCTCAATTTAGTGTAAGTACAATTTTTTTATTTCTACTATCCAGAATGGAGTTCTAATGAAATCTTTTTAAAATTCTGTAATAAGGAAAAGATGAAGAATACAATTTAACATAAAACATAATTGTAATGGGTTAACTTACTTGAAGTTCAAAAAGGTTAACAAAAAGCTATGCATAGAATTTTAGCAGTAAATGGAGCCAAAGAGTACCTAGCCTAGCTCTCATTTTTCTTCATAAGAAGACTAAGATACCAGTGAAAATTAGTTACCTAAATTCAAGCAGTTTATTATCTATTGGGGGAACTCGCCCCCAATAATTCAACATTATTTCATGTAGGTTCTTTTCTATTTCCCTAAATGTTGGCCGGTCTGAGAAACAAAGGGAAAGAGTACAAAAGAGAGAAATTTTAAAGCTGGGTATTTGAGGGAGACATCACATGTCAGCAGGTTCCGTGATGCCAGCAAAGTTTTTATTAGTGATTTTCAAAAGGGGAGGGAGTGTACGAATAGCGTGTGGGTCACGGAGATCACATGCTTCACAAGGTAATAAACTATTACAAGGCAAATGGAGGCAGGGCGAGATCACAGGACCGGGGCAAAATTAAAATTGCTAATGAAGTTTCGGGCATGCATTGTCATTGATAACATCTTATCAGGAGACAGGGTTTGAGAGCAGACAACCGGTCTGACCAAAATTTATTAGGTGAGAATTTCCTCATCCTAATAGGCCTGGGAGCACTACGGGAGACCGGGGCTTATTTCATCCCTTGTCTACAATTGCAAAAGATAAATGTCCCCTGAGCGGCCATTTTAGAGACCTCCCGCTAGGAATGCATTCTCTTTCTCAGGGATGTTCCTTCCTGAGAAAAATAATTCAGCGATATTTCTCCTATTTGCTTTTGGAAGAAGAAAAATATGGCTCTGTTCCACCCGGGTCTCAGGCAGCCAGACCTAATGGTTATCTCCCTTGTTCCCTGAACATCGCTGTTATCCTATTATTTTTTCAAGGTGCCCAGATTTCATATTGTTTAAACAATTTGTGCAGTTAACACAATCATCACAGGGTCCTGAGGTGACATACATCCTCAGCTTACGAAGACGACGGGATTAAGAGATTAAAGACAGGCATAGGAAATCACAAGAGTATTGATTGGGGAAGTGAAAAATGTCCATGAAATCTTCAAAATTTATGTTTAGAGATTTCAGTAAAGACAGGCATAAGGAATTATAAAAGTATTAATTTGGAGAAGTAATAAATGTCTATGAAATCTTCACAATTTGTACTCTTCTGCCATGACTTCAGCCAGTCCTTCTGTTTGGGGTCCCTGACTTCCTGTAACAATTATCCAATATAATTTCCATATTTGAAGGTAATTTGATACCTGTTTACATACATCTTACATCAGTATTACTAACAAATTCATACATTATTTTATTCTCTAGTCCTCAGAAAATTTGAAACTAGTAAAACCTATGAAATCTTGAACAATCAAGGACAGATAATTTATTTTGCAGAAGAGAGAAATAATTGCTTCCTTCGACACCTTTGTGGATTTTCAAGGCCTTTTACTATTACAATTTATGATAATGTAGGTAGAGATGTACTTGCTCTGCATAAGGCTCTGAAATGTAGCTGCTGCTGGAGTAGATGCTGCCTACAAAAGGTAAGTAAATATTTATACCATCATATCAAAAAAGCCTTGGTGCTGGACAGTATGATAAAGTCTAAACATTGGGATTGGCTGCAAAAGATTTTCTGGAATGAAAAATGTCAGAGAGATCATTGAATTTTTGTACCATGTACCTATAGGCTGAGAATCATGCACAACATTGCAAATTTTTTCTAGGCAATGAAGGTCATAAGATCTTTAGATGTTTTCTGTTCTAAACTATCTAAGCATCCATCCAAGGCTTTTTGTGACCTAAGAAATCTTTTCCTATTGCGAAGTGGCAAAAACTCTATCTCATGTTTCCTATAGAAACTCTATATTTAAATCTACCTCCATTTTTAGTTAATTTTTGTATTCATGTGAGGAAAGTGTTGAGAACCTTTTTTCCCACTTTAATATTTAGTTGTTTAAACACCATTATTTGTAAAAGACTATTCTTTTTCTACTGGATTGTTTTGGCAACATTTCTGAAAATGAATTGCCAATGTATATGTTTACTTATTTCTAGAGTCTACTCTCTTCTATTATTCTACCTATGTGTATACATACAAATATATATACACATGCAGAGCTAAGATCATAAGGACAATATAATATTGGCATAATACCAGCTATAGAGTAAGTCTTAATATCAGGTAATACAAGCCTTCTTATTTTGTTTTGCTTTTGTCAAACCTATTTTGGCTCTCTTAGTTCCTTCACATTTTTATATAAATTTTACAAAAAAAAAAAAAAAAAAAAAACCTCTCATATTAAAAAATCCAGCTAAGATACTGAGGGTATTTAATCAATGGATTAATTTGAAAAGAACTTATGTCTTATTAATATTGAATTTTCTGCTCAATGACTATGGTTTATTTCTCCTTCTAGTTAGATCTTCTTTAATAACTCCCAGTAATAGTCATATTCAGTACTTAGGTCTTACAAATATTGTATTACAAATTAATTTAATTATTGTATGTTTCCAGATACAATTATAAATGGTACTTTTTATTTAAACTTTACATTTTTGTCGCTTTTATATAGTATATTGTATATAGAAAATTATTGCTCTGTGTATACTTACTTTACTCTGACCTTGCTAAAACTTACTTATAAATTCTAGTAGCTTTTTGGTGGATTCCCTAAAGTTTCCTACAATTATAGATATGAAAAATGAAAATATAGATTTTACTTCTTCCTTTCCCTTTTTTTTTTTTTTTTTTTTTGAGACAGAGTCTCGCTCTGTCGCCCAGGCTGGAGTGCAGTGGCCAGATCTCAGCTCACTGCAAGCTCCGCCTCCTGGGTTTACGCCATTCTCCTGCCTCAGCCTCCCGAGCAGCTGGGACTACAGGCGCCCGCCACCTCGCCCGGCTAGTTTTTTGTATTTTTTTTTTTTTTTTAGTAGAGACGGGATTTCACCGTGTTAGCCAGGATGGTCTCAATCTCCTGACCTCATGATCCTCCTGTCTTGGCCTCCCAAAGTGCTGGGATTACAGGCTTGAGTCACCGCGCCCGGCCAACTTCTTCCTTTCTCATCTGTATGCTTTTTATTTGTATGTATACATTTATGAATGTATGTATTTATTGTCTGGATTCTGGAAATCTCAGAAACATTTTATCCTTGTCACGTGTTTCACTACATCTACTTATATTTTGAGGCTTGAGGCTTTGTTTTTCCATCTAATTTTGCCATTTAATTTTGTCTAAAGAATTTGACAGTAGTTTTGTTTCGTTTTGCTAGCACACTTGTTCTGTCCTTTTCCCTGATAGTTTTTGGGGGGATTTATAAGCCATACCACCATTATCATCAGATTGACTTAGCAGTCTTCCTTTGCCTTTTAATGGCTAATACTTACATATGGTAAGAAAAAGAAAAGGAAAGGAAGGAAAGAAGGAAGGAAGGAGGAAGGAAGGAGAAAGAAAGAAAGAAAGAGAGAAAGAGAGAAAGAGAGAAAGAGAAAGAAATAAAAGAAAGAAAGAAAGAAAGAAAGAAAGAAAGAAAGAAAGAAAGAAAGAAAGAAAGAAAGAAAAGAAGGAAGAAGAGAGAGGAAGGAAGGAGGAAAGAGAGAAGGAAGGAAGGAAGGAAGGAAGGAAGGAAAGAAGGAAGGAGGAAAGAGGAAGGAAGAAAGGAAGGAAGGAAGGAAGGAGAAAAGGAAAAGAAAAGGAAAAGGGAAAGGAAAGGAAAGGTCAGAATTCTCTACTTTTCAGAATAGAAAAGGACAGAATATAACGGAAGCATATTCAGGAGAAACAATTTCTCTCAAATGCTTGCTTCCTAGGCCTCCTACATCCCTTTTTAGATACAACTACCATTATAAGTTTCTTATGTATTCTTCCACAGTTATGTTGTGAATATTTGTATAATGTATTATATAAATATAGCATGTTTATGCTATGTGTGTGTGTTTTAACATAATTAGTAGCATATTATTCTACTTTTTAAGCACATAACACTGTAATTTGAGGATTACATCTATGTTTAGAACTTCTTTGTTCCTTTAAATGGCAGCATAATAACCCATTACATGGATATGCCATAATTTATTCAACAAGTCTCTGTTGAGTCTGATTAACTGAGCTTTAAATAAAAATTGGGACAAAATTTAGATTTGCCATGGCAAAGAGTTATGAAACTGCTTTGCATATTGAGTAATAAGCAGTTTTGGATGAGATTAGAGTTTATGTTGTATTTCATGGGCATTACAATTTAAAAGGTAATTCTCATACATGCCTACAAAGGAAATTATTATTATCCCTCTTTTGCAAATGGAAAGTAAATTTCAGAGACTTTAGTGATTTGTTCACATTTCAAGCAGTTAGTAAGCAGTGAAGTCATGTCTTAGCTCAGGGGACTTTAACATATAAATTCTCATTTCTATGTTTATTCTCAAACATGAGGCATCCCTTAAATACAGAAAGTTCTGTCTAAATATACAAAAAGCTCATTTAAGAGGTCGTACAGAACTAAATAAAGTGTTGCTTACAAGTCTAACATATCCGGTCGGATCAATGATATATTTTCAATCTTTTGTAGCTAAAAGTTGAAGCTCCACCTGGTGAAACAATTGGGTATGTTTATCAATACTTTCACCCATTCTTGCCAAAGTTCAAAATAAAAAATGAGAATAAGGAGGAGGTAATGAAAATTAGAGGCCCATGGTTGGTCTTCAGCTGTCTCAGGGATCTAAATTTTAATGTAAGTAATTAACAATATTTTAATGTCATATTAAAATTAGTTTATTATATTTTTATAATAGATATAATTAGTGAATATGAATAAAGAAAAATAAAAGAATATTATTATGAAAATATTGTAACTATTCACTTTTTTAAAAAATTGGATTACTAATTCACAGCATCCTTATTTAAAAGCTCTATAAGTTTATGTAGCTTATAAGGCAGGTTTTAAAGGTATCAAAAGTTAGTTATTTAATATCTCAAAGAATATTGACAGAGAAATTTAAACTTTATTAAATGGACAATGACCTAATCTGGTACTAATTATAGCTAATGTGTTATATTAATGTTAATTAACACAGTTTCTGCTTTTTATAAAACTTTGAAATTTAATATGTTTTAAAAATTTTTCTATGTGCTTACTAATTTACCTCTCAGATTATAGCCAACATCCAGATAATAATTTGGGAAATTAGCTACTAAACATACTTCATATAGTTAATAAAATTAAATAACTTGTTATATTTATTTAAACCTGAAGATTTCTAAGCAATAGAGAATATTGTGTTGGTTTAACATTATAGTAGATGTGCAAAAAGTCATACTTCCCTAACTTTCATCTAAAACCTGTTTGTTTGTTTGAATATCTAAAATATCTAGTAGAAAATTTGCATACAGCCTAACTAAAATACCACCTAATTTTCCTTCCTTTCTTAGAATTATGTCAATTCATTTTAGTGATTCTGATTCTTACTGGCATCTGCATATACTGATTAAGAAAAATATACTTAATACATTACAAATTAATTGTTAATAATATGGTTAGTTCAGAAAGTAATAATATGACTCCATGGGGCTCTATTTTAAGTTAAAAGCCAAAGTAACAGAGTAGACTTCCAAAGTAAGCATAAAACTCTGGAATCCAAAGCCATTTTTTACTGACACCAAATAATAAAATGCTTTTTGTGCATTATTTTGTATTTCAGAGTATAATATAGCAAATCCTACTCATTGTAATATTTGCAAAACTTTGTCAAAGCTATATAAAACTCTTCCCATTTTTTCTGTTTGAAGCAAAACAATTTTAAAGCTGGCACTCTTGGGTAAGCTCCAAGTAAGAGGAGCAAGAAAGGGAAATCATGATTTTCTAAGAAAGTCATCTTTTCCATGAATGTGGACAATCCTTTTAGTACTTTTGGCTATGAATAAGAGGAAAGAGATAAAGTAGTAGCTAGTTACAGGGCCAGAACTAGAATGAGGCAATTGAGGTGTTCATCTCAGGTACAAAATTTAAGGGAGCAACACAAATCTTAGTATTAATGGTAAGTGATAAATGAATGTGTTGCAGTTTTTTTTTTAATTAAAATTAATGCAAAACGTTTTTTATGATGAAATACACCAAAAAATTAAGAAAGGAACTGACCATGTACTTGTATTACTTATATCTCTGCAATACCCCAATCCTGTTTCTGGCTTGATGAAGACACGGGTGGAAAGTGAGGTATTTTTCTGAAAAGTATGTCATTATCCCTTTGATTGTAAAAGAACAGAGCCAAATGAGAGAAAGTGTGGAGATACAAAAGAGGCTGAATACTTGGTGAACCCGGTTTCTTATTTGGTATGGGACTAAGACACATGTAGAGAATTAGCTTCGTATAGAGATGGCCCATTCACCATAACAGGAAGGAGGCCGGAAATGTTGATACGAATACGTTCTGTTTGTAGGGCTGGTGTCTGAGTGTGAATTCCTGTTCCACAGCTTTTATTTTTTCTGTAATATAAGAGATAAGATATTTTGTTGAGAATGAGGAGGAATGATGGGTTCAGAGTTCTGAAAAGGGTGAAGAACTTTGGGCATATTTAAAACACTTTGATATTTCTCATTTCCCATATTCCTTAGCACTACTCACAAGGCTGTGTATGAGCAGCCCTGCTAACCTCTCTGGTCTCACTAATTTTCTGCTATTAGCCGCCTCCCTCACTTCACTCCAGCTATGCTCCCTCCTAACTCGGGGCCTTTTCACATGTTAACTTTCTCTGGAATGCTGTCTGTCTTCCTATTTCTCTTGTCACTAATTCCTTCTGGTCCTCTAAGTCTCAGCTTAAATGATGCTGTCCCCAAGCAGCTTACTCTAAAACCATGCCCCTACCGTTTGTGTAGTCTGCTTATTAGCTCCCAATTGTACTACATGATAGTACCCTACACTTCCCTTATGGCCCTCATTACAAGGCAGGTACTATGATTCATCCCAGGTTTGTTGTTTTATATTTACATGAGTATCTCTTATTCTGAAGGAATTAGTGTGAGTTGGTATGAGAAATGATGCTCTAGGAGGTTTAGATAAGTAACAGAGAAAAAAAATGAGGAAAAAGTAAAGGCAACCAGAAAATAAAAGAACTTCTGAAAGAGTTGGGAAGCTGTGTAATGAGCTGAGAAGCTAGTGGTTTTCATTTTATAATGAAATTCATGCTCATGTTAAATTAAAGCAAATTATATGAATTAACTATATATGTGTGTATACATAGACATAGAAATAGATATAATCAGTTGTATACAATTTGAAAATCTACTTTTAGATAGGAATTGCCTATAAATTTTACCAGGCTATTATGTGTCCATGTTGCATATTTTGTAAATTCTTGGGTACAATCAGTATGATTATAACTCATAAAGGTCATAATTAGTTAATAAATTTGGTACAGGAATAACTTTTTATCTCATAGATAAAGGTTATATATTTTTCCATTTTAGTTATTGACTGTGGATGAGGAAATGGTTATTGGAAAGATTTCAAAACAGTACTCTGGATTTGTAAGGGGAATATTAACCAATGGTGAGAAATTTGGGATCCAGTTTCCATTTGATCTTGATGTTAAAATTAAAGCACTGATGCTTGGAGCAACTTTCCTCATTGTGAGTCTATTTTTACTCTATTTAGCTGAAAAAATTATATTTTCTGAGATTACCATTGCACTTTTGCTAATATTTCTCCTTGAATCATCTGAATTAACTGCGAATTGTGCCTTTCTGGCCATCCTCAGTCCCCAAATGACATCATGGATTCAGTATTCACATTGCAAAGGAAGCAAAAATTAGAGTGTTCTAGAAACATGATGATTCAGGTTTAAATCCTTAGCCTTCATGAAAAATCAGACTGTCACTGAAAATAGGAAAAATATGGTTCATTCAATGTGACTTATAGTTATCTCTTACAATGTAAAATTAATACATGCTTGTTACACTTTATTGAAATGGTAATATATTGTTAATTTGGAAACTATAGATATTATTTCATTTAGCTCTATCTCTTGAGCAATACAAAGACCTTAAAAACATTTTAATTCTAATCTCTCTCTCACAACTTATATACTTTTGTTGACTAGTGTTTTAGTTTTGCTTCTTTTTAAATTCACAAATTAAATATGTGCTATTAGTTTATTTTTCTAATAAAATCACAGATATGTTTAGCATTTTATTTATTCTCAAATTTTATTGAACTTTAGATGAGCACTCCAAGGTTATGTTCCTTTTTCCTAATCCTCACTTAATGTCATTGTATTAGTTCATTTTCGCACTGCTATAAAGAAATACCCAAAACTGGGTAATTTATAGAGGAAAGAGGTTTAATTGACTTACAGTTACACATGGCTAGGGAGGCTTCAGGAAACTTACAATTATGGTAGAAGGTGAAGAGGAAGCAGGCACCTTTTCCACAAGGCGGCAGGAAACAGTGAGTACAAGCACGGGACATGCCAGATGCATATAAGATCATCAGATCTCCTGAGAACTCACTGGCTATCAAAAGAACAGCCTGAGGGAAACCACTCCCATGATCCAATCACTGCCCTCCCTCCCCACTTGGGGATTACAGGACCCTGCCTCGACACATAGGGATTATAATTCAAGATAAGATTTGGGTGGAGACACAGAGCCAAACCACATCTGTCTTTGATGGGTTCTTGGAAACTGCAAATTTAAGCACAATGATATAGAATAAAACTAATTATTTTTGCCATCAACATTATAACAAAATGACACTGAACAAAATGACATTTTTGTAAATTTTCTGTAATTACCAGTTGACAGAAATTGTTAAATTGGGCTGGGAGCGGTGGCTCATGCCTGTAATCCCAGCACTTTGGGATGAGGTCGGGAGTTCGAGACCAGCCTGACCAACATGGAGAAACCTGGTCTCTATTAAAAATACAAAATTAGTCGAGCAGGTGGCACGTGCCTGCAATCCCAACTACTCGGGAGGTTGAGGCAGGAGAATTGCTTGAACCTGAGAGGCGGAGGTTGTGGTGAGCTGACATTGCCCATTGCACTCCAGCCTGGGCAACAAGAGTGAAACTCCATCTCAAAAAAAAAAAAAGAATAGTTAAATTGGATTTTTAGAGTGTCTGTAGTCTCTTTTAAAAAGACAAACCTAAATTAATGACCAAAAAATTGAAAGAAAGAGAATATGGATAAATACCACAAGAAAGCTAGGGAAGCTAAATTAATAGCAGGAAAAAAAAAAAAAAAGACATTAAGACTCCAAAAAATAGAAACAGAAACAAAATGGGTTCCTATGATGATAAAGTTTCTATTCAAACAAGGTGTAATAATTCTAGGCTTGTATGCATGTAATATTAACTTCAAAATATAGAGACAAGTGGCCGGGTGCGGTGGCTCATGCCTGTAATCCCAGCACTTTGGGAGGCCAAGGTGGGCGAATCACCTGAGGTCGGGTGTTCGAGACCAGCCTAACCAACATAGAGCAATCCCATCTCCTAAAAATACAAAATTAGCCAGGCATGGTGGTGCACACCTGTAATCCCAGCTTCTAGGGAGGCTGAGGCAGGAGAATCACTTGAACCTGGGAGGCAGAGGTTGCAGTGAGCCGAGATCACGCCATTGCATTCCAGCCTGGGCAACAAGAGCGAAACTCTGTCTCAAACAACAACAACAACAAAACAAAATATAGAGACAAGTGTTAAAAATTAGAGTGACAAACCCATCATAAAAATGGGGAATTTACTCATATCTCTTCATTTATACTAGATATAAGAGACAGAACATTAGTAAAGTTATTTAAAATTTGAACAACAAAATGAATACGCTTGATTTAATGGTCTTATTTAGACCTTTTGTTGTTGTTGTTGTTGTTTTTTGAGACGGAGTCTCTGTCACTAGGCTAGAGTGCAGTGGCACAATCTCAGTTCACTGCAACCTCCGCCTCCCGGGTTCAAGCGATTCTCCTGCCTCAGTCTCCCGAGTAGCTGGGACTACAAGCGCCGGCCACCATGCCCAGCTAACTTTTGTATTTTTAGTAGAGAAGCGGTTTCACCATGTTGGCCAGGATGGTCTCAGTCTCTTGACCTCGTGATCTGCCCGCCTCAGCCTCCCAAAGTGCTGGGATTACAGGCATGAGCCACCGTGCCCCGCCGAACTTTTACCAAACAATTAGACAATACACACTTTTCTCAAATAAACATTGTTTACAAAATTGATATAATAGTGGGCCAAGAAGCAAGTCTCAACAAATTACAGAGAATCATTATCATTTAGACCTTAGTATATGAGCAAACGACACTCCCATGTAATATTTTATTACATATTTTAAAGTATTTAAAAATTTTTGTTATGGCTTTTTAAAAATAATTGGGGGTAAATAACCCAATTATTTTTAAAAAGCCATAACAAAAATTTTTAAATACTTTAAAATATGTAATAAAATATTACATGTCAAAACTCTTGGTATGCAACTAAAGATATTAAAATATATAGCTATAAATAATTATTGAAGAAAAGAGAAAAATTAATAAGTTAAATTAATTAGCTAAAACTACAAAGTTAGAAAAAAATAAGAAAAAGAATAAACCCAAGGAATTGAAGGAGATATTGAACAATTAAGCAAACAAAAATAAACAGAGTACCCATACTTGGACTCTAGACAAATAGGTCTTTTGAAGCAAGAAAATCATAAAGTAACAGACTACTACATTTAAATAGCTTAAATTTCTGTACCCCATAAAACCTCATAATATTAAATATTTAAAAGCAAATAATAAATTAAGGAAAATATGGGAAATAAGGAAAACAATAAATTAAGGAAATACACAACAAATATGACCAACGAATAATATTCTTATGTTAATAAAAATGATATTTAAATAAGAAAAATATCAAATACTTAATGAAAATGTACAAATATTATGAAAAATAATTCAAATAACTATCAAAGAGGGAATAAAAATAAACACTCAACCTAAGAAAGCATTTCCAAAAACACACAAGAGAAGCAAAAAATAAAGGATAAAATACCATTTTTAAAATCATATATTAATGTTTTCATTTTTAATGATGTATGCTCCATGCTGATGAAGATTTAAGGAATCAAGTGCTCATGAACTCTAGGTACAACTTTTAGAGGAATGAATTAAAAACATTTGTCAAAAATGTAATGTTTATATTCTTTCAGATGCAGACAAATAATGATGTACAATCTTTATAGTAACTAGCAATATATACTCTATGTAGCAAATTTCACTCAAATAAACAGTAAAAGTTAAAACAACATAAAATGTGTGAGTATGAGATTTACTAAATACATTATGAGACATCTCTAGAACAGAGTAATAAATAGATATCAAAATAAACTAAAAAACTAAATACTTTTAAGGACCTTTAATGACACAAATAGAATAGTTTACGCAGTGAAAAAAGCCAGGGTATGAGCACATTATAACAGCAATTATGTACGTCTTGGAGGAATTTGTACCAAAATACTTACGGTAGATTTTGGGATTGATTGAAAATATAAACGTTTTCCTTCTCTTTTCCTCCAGTTTTCTAAGATGCGTATATGAATGAAAAAATATATATAAGTAAAATGAGGTAGTATTAGTTGCTGATCTCTAAGGGCCTTTAGCGATGCACAAATCTATTATTTTGATGTATTTAAGGGCAAACAGTCATTCTTATGCCCTTGGAAATTTGTTCCTCACGGGTCTGCTCCTCAGACACTTGCTTTTTAATATGTTTTGTGATCATGATATTATAATATAGGGACCTTAAAAAGCATTCTCATGTCTAATGCCTGCAGTTGTTTCTACTATTAAACCAACCTAATTGTATTTTTCATTTTCATTCTAGGACTACATGTATTTTGAACTGTGGCCATAAGAACTACCCTGAAAGAATATGTCAGAGGCCACTGGCATTTATTTTTGCCAGTCCTCCACAAAACTAAGCAACTTTAACTGAAAATATCTAAATACATTTTATTTTACTAAAACTGTTCATATATATTCTTTCTGCATAATAAACTGTACCAAAATTTTTTAACTTCAAATAATCATTGTGTTTAACTTAGGATTCTGTTGTATAGTTCTACTGTTCAGAACCTGGCTCACTCATGCATTTTGAGTCAATTATCAGATTGGTTGGGACTGTCTCATCCCAGATGGCTTCATTCACATGTCAGGCTATTGGCTGAGGGAATGGGGGCAATAGGTCACATATTTTTCATCATCTAGGAGTCTAGCCAAAGCTTTTACACATGACTGTGTTACAAAAGCAACAAGAAAGCAAGTTCAAATGTTCAAACTCATTTCAAGCCTCTGCTTCTATTATGCTTAGTAATATCCCATTGACCAAAACAAATCACATAGCCAAGCCCACATTCAAGGGGTGGAAAAATAGACTCAATTTTTTTAATGACAGTTGCTGCAAAATAATGTGACCTTTCTTCCTCCAACACAATTTATCACTGTCTTCTCTCTGGTTCCAATTATTTACATTCTCCCCAAACACAAAATATCCTTAACCCCATGAAGACTCCCAACAAGTCTCTTTCAATTACAGCATTAAGCTCAAGTCCAGTATGATGTGATCTGTTACCTTCTGTAAATGTGAGTGAGGATACTTGGATGCAGCTTCTCTTGATTCAGAGACTTGAGAACAAAAAAGCCCACTTTACACGTAATACTGAGCAAAGGTCAAAATAGCCACAATGAACAAATAAAATTCATGTAGTAGTAGCTGGTCAATAGAAATTATAGAAGTCAGAAGGGATATGTTTCTAGTTCCCCTTACTCTGGTGACAGAGAAAATGCTGCTCCCTGGGAGTGGCTTTCTAGTCCATTGTTCTACTCTGATCTCTGGAATTTTGTGTCTGCCTTCTGAAACAATTTTTTCTTTTCTAAATGAAATTACCATGTTTTTAGCTGAGTAACTTTTATAGGTTTCTGTCTACAAATATTGAAAACAGAGGTCTCTTCACTTTAGAATGTCTTAGTCTCTTTTAGTTTATGCTTATACAACTCCCTTAAAAACTGTGTGGATTTCTACTTACCAGATTTAGTCCACTTCATTGGAAAAAAGTCACATCCATTATTCTTTTTAGGACAGGCTTCTTTCTCTGGACTTATTCACACCTAGCTTAGCTTCGTTATATCACAGGTGGGTTGCAAACGGAGCCAGAGAACACATCCTTAATGCACAAGCACATTTCAAACCTGTTTGCATCATGTCTGTTAATGTCCCATTGACCAAATCAAGTAACATGGCTAAATCCCCGTTCAAGGGATGTTGAAAGAGATCTCACTTCTTGATGGGAAGAGCTCTAAAATATCATGGACTTTTTTTTTTTTTTTTTTTTTTTTTTTAACAATCTAGCACACTATTTAATGGGTGATTTTTTTTATTCATATTACCTATGAAATATCTTTGAATTTGGAATATTTTCAATTATATATCACTATTTAATTAACTAAAATATTTATGATAATTCATAGGTATTATTGGTTTCAATGAATGATAATATCCAAATAACAGGTCATCCTACATCAGAACTACACAGACACTCTCTTAAAGGGATCAAAAGAGATAAAGACTCAGTGAAATATAATAAAACAAGCCGTGGATACTTCCATAGAAAAGCTATTCTTCTTTCTTATAAAAGTATCTGGATAGAGCAGTCCTAATTATACAAGTGTTACCATTTAATGTTTTGGATAAATCCCCCCCTTGTGGTTAGGATTTCTGCCCACAGAAGAAAATAACAGATTTTTGTTTGCAAAAGTTTATGCTTAAAAGGGTATAGTCTAGGTCATTCTAGAAAGACTTGGAATCAAAAATTTAAAGCCAGCAGAAGTGGTTCACTCAAAGGGAGAGGGAACAGACTTGAGGCACATGTTGCCAAGGTGCAGGGATCTGTCCCTTACTCCCCTTCAAAGATCCAGAGGCAAATGGACCCACATGTATGCCTGAAGATGTTTGTTGGGTGCACTGTCCTGGTAGACTCACATAAAGAACCTCATACTCTGGCGTGGCCAGGAGGAAGTGGAAATTCCTATCTTCCAGGGGACTACAAGACCCTAGTCTATAAGCTTACCCCAGTTCTCTACGCTTTGTAACATTTCTTAGGAATCTTTTAGGACATTTTATTGGGAAAATGGCACACACCACTTTTTCTCAAGAAAAAAAAATTTAAAAATCATAAAATGGAATTTCTCATACATTAATGAAAAGAAACTTGAAACAAAATTAATTTAAACAAGAAAATAAATAACATATTTTCTGCTACAGAATTCTTGGGAAGCAATCTCATTTCCAAATTATGTGTCTTGTTCATAATTTCTTTTATGAAACTTCCCTGCCTACATCCCCTGGAAGACAGACGAATTTTTCCCTCTCTATGCAGATCTGACAGAATCAGGGTTTGGAATATAAAATTAGGTAATTTTCATTATAATGCATGATACATACTGAATGCTTAGTATATATTAGACAGTGTTATTACAGTCATGTTCAATTGAATGCTGATACTTCAGATATGCTAGCTCACACAGAACATTTGTACATGACGAAAGTTAGAAGTTTTCACATACGGTTATCTTGTTGGTTTGCCCCGTTCATAGAGATTCAAACTTTTTTTAGAGGAAGAAAACTTTGGTTGAAGTTGTTAACAGAATTTTTTAATGGAACATTTTCTGCTTGTTTTTTGGTCAAGCTTGCAAACACTAAGCACAGAAGATAAAATTTCATTGCTCACATTCCAGAACAAGGTTCTAAACCATTTATGTAGGTTATGTTAAAAAAATGAAGTTGTCCTCAGCGCAACTATTCCAATACAGTTCATGTAACAAAACAGTTACAGGAGGGCGAGAAGAAAGTATATACTATGGTGTCTAGTCTCATCCTTTGTGTTTTGAGTATTGAGGATTAGAAGTTGGTAACATTGCTCAAGAAGAGACCACGTAGGCTTCTTGACACAGGTGAAACTGTTTCAGGGACAAAGTTTACCTCTCACATTGTAGATTAATTGATGCTCATCTAGCACCCTAAGGATTGGAAGCTTTGACAGCACTTATACCCAGTGACATTCCCATAACAAATCATAGCACAAGTGAAGTTTCTTCAGATGACTTGGTAGGCATTAGGGATGATTAAGTGGGAGCAAGGGCACAAGAAGCAAAGACAGCCTCTAGCAGGGGGAATTAGATGTACAGACTGGCTTTTGAAAACATAAAATACGCCATTCACTGAAATAGTGATTTTCAACTTTAGCATGTATCAAAATCACCTGGAGCGTCTTTCAAACCACAGATTGCTGCATCTCATCCCCAGAATATTTGATTCAACATGTCTTGGGTGTGCTGATAATTTCCATTTTAACAAGTTACCAGGTGAAGCTGCTGCTACTACTAATGGGAACCACACTTGAAAATTTTGGCACTCGAGCAAATTACCAGACTTCAGCCAGAATTCTGTGAGCTGCTTGCTAAAGGCAGCAAGTTGAGAAAATTATGAAGGCTTATGAAACATTTTAGAGGACCACTGGAATCATCTAAATCACCCCATCTGTATGCAGCATGGCTGGGGATCTTCAGGTATATCCTCCTTCTTTTATCTTCAGTCTCCCTCTCTGGAATATAATGTCACTCTAAGTGTGGCTTTGAGTCAGCAACATTAATGTAATCTGGGAACTTCCAAAAAGGCAAACGAATGAGTCCTCCCCTAGACCTAGTCAATCAGTAACTCTGAGGATGAGACCCAGCAATCTGTTTTTTATTAATAACAAATTCTCAAGATAATTTTTATTGTGAGAAATGTTAGAATAATGCAGCGCTTCTCAGACTTAGCTATACATTGGAATCACCTGGAAGCTTTAAAAAACTATTGATGCTTTGGTCTTAACTCCAGAGAATGATTTCATTTATCTAAAGTACAATTGGGGCATTGGATATTTTTAAATAAGTAGTTTTAGGCTCACAGCAAAATTGGCTGGAATGTACACAGATTTCATATATATTCCTATCACCATGCCACATACAGGCACTAAAATTTTAAAAAGTTTTCTAGATGATTCTTGTGCACAGCCAAGTTTGGGAACATTTTTTATTTAAACGTGCTGAGGACCTTATTTTAAACAAAGTTTCCTTTGATCGCATAGCTACCTTCACTTTTAACATTTTTGTTGTTGTTGTTGTTTTCATTTTAAGCTTCTTCAACTTTCTCTACTTTCTTTTTCCACTTCCTTGCCTCGTATTCACCACAAGTCTACTGTGATTTCTCTTGCATATCTACGATGACCTTATTTTTACCAAGGGGTACTTTTAAATTTCACCTTAATTGGATTCTGTACAGCATTTAGTATTGTTGACCATTCCTTCCTAAACTCTTTCATTGGTTTACAGAAAGCTCATTCTCTGAGATTATTTTATTCTTGCCACGCATCCTTAGGCTCTATTAAATCTTCTCGTGTACCCATTCATTAAACACTGATGTTTCTCAACATTGTATCTTTGGATCTTTTCTGGACTATCTAGCTTATCACGTAGCAGGGAAATTGAAGGTACATTAAAAACTTTTAAAATTAATTTTTATTTATCAAAGTAAAACATTTGAATAGTCTAAAATGCCAAACACTGCTGAAAGACTTATTACACAATCAATAGCATCTGGCTACTCCCCTCTACCCACTTTCTACATTACAAACAAAAAACCCCAGTAGAACTTCTATTTGGATTTTTATTGAATTTTTAGATAAATTTATGGAGAAATGGAGAACTGATATTTTGACAATATTGAAACATCTAATATGAAAACATGATATATTTCTCTTTTACTTAGGGCTCCTTTAATCTCCGTCATCTAAGTTTTGTAGTTAGCACAGTACAAAAAAAAAAGTTCCTTACATATTTCTTATTACTTTTATTACCAGATATCTAACGTTTTCATGCTTTTGGACATGGCATCTTTCAACTATATTTTCTAGTTTTTTATTTCTAGTATATGGAAATACAATTGATTTTGTACATTGGCTAATACTGTTACCTTTGTCAACCTAAA